CTTAATCTTTTGACCTCTCAGAGAGAGTAGTGTCAAATTTCTAGGAAAATATCAACAACTAAAGAAGCTTTCAAAAAAATTCTCCTTGTCAGCACCTAAAGAAATTTATAGAGAATAGTATGGAGAATATGCATACTGATGTGTGTGGAAAGGGTTGAAATACATAACACGATAGGATAACTGGGGGCAAGAGCTGCCCATACAAGAGTCGCTCATCGTGTTTGTCACAACAAGTCGAGATAATATTAAAGGAACACGCGGTCAGCAGGAAGTAACAGCGGAGAGCACGTATCTGCTCATGAATTTTTTGTCTTTTTCATTTGTTCCGGGAAAAGCTTTCATAGTACCGCGACAACGAATCATTTTTCATTCCTCTATTGGGAAATACACTAATTACCTTTATTTTAAAATTCACGACGCCGATGATTACAATATTGTAAATCGTGCAAAGTGACAATTTGTGGCTGGAGATGTTTGTTCATTTCGCGTTGGCTTCTCCTAGACATTCTTTGGTTCGTTGTGTCTGACAAGTGAAAAAAGGATACTTAAAAATGAAGAGTACCCTTGTGCGCTAACGTGCTTTCCGGTTTGGTTGAAGATCGGTTTGGTTTGAAGATCGGTTTTCACCGAGCTAGATATGCGGAAACTCTCTAAATAAATTATCATTGTTAAAAATGAGTTCCTTTACGCGTGAAACCGCGGCTTCAGCGGGAAAGGACCTGAAATATGTAGGTACTAAGAAATGAACTACTTTATACAAGCCTTTTTTCCGTTTGAAAATTACAATCTTCAAATAATCTATTTGAGAAAAGATTTCTTTTCTTAAGGGTCATTTCCCTCGATTTGGCAAGATTTTACCTTAAGAAAGCAAAATTACAGTGTCAAGCGCATGCAGCATTAACTATTCCAATTACACTTAGGTGTTGACCTAAGCCTTCAAACACAGGTGACATCGCGCGTGCGTAGATGATTAGTTAAAACTAACGTCACCAAGGGTGTTATTATGACAGCTTATCTAGACAAGTAAGATTCGAGAGCATTTGTATCATGAAAAGCCACAGAGGTGGATTGTAGAACGATCGAAAAGGACTCATGGAAGGAGATGAATGGAGGACGTTAGAATCTTGTTCCTGTTATTTCTGCTCTCACAGATATGTTTCCATGCCGGCGCCACGGATTATCCAAAACTCACGTTCGTTGCGATTGGAGATTTCGGCGGAATTCCTTTACCGCCGTATACCACATACATGCAAAAGAAGATAGCCAAAGTTATGGGCAGGGTAAGTGTTCGAGAGTCGCCTACCGATTTTAAAACGATTCCCTTAACATAGTTGTGATCTGTTTTATATTTTTTGACTGGTTGCTTGTACTGCCCTATTCAATTTTAACTGGTGTTTTGCGTTTTAAGGAGTTCGAGAAACATAACTATTAGCGTCTCAGCGACAGCTCGTGTATTTGTTCGCGAGACGCGCCACGATAATCCAGCCGATATGAAAATAACCCAGGCGAAACTAAGGCGCCTTAAGTTAATTTTTATTAATCGGATGAGTTAGCCGGCCAAATCCTCCGGAAACTTTGAAGTGGTCAAGTTCAGGAGGGTGATAAATTATTGAAGGGAATACCAACTGATCTTTCGAGCTGGTTCGTTAACTGTCGATCTCAAACAACGCTAACCTGGTAACCAACATTTCATAAATTTTGGGGGGGGTATTTTTCTCGTAGAGCCGAAACAAAGAGCAGAAACGGTGACGCACGACTTGAACAGAAATAAAATCTAGTGATTATGGACTAAAAATGGAAAATTCATTTTTAGTGATGTTTAATACGATAATCAAGGTTATAAGATATTTTTCATCGGAAAATTTTCTCATTTATTCTATACGAAAAAGCGGTGTTGATGATATCCTGTTTAAACTAAACTAAAATTTCAAGTAAACAATTTCGTTCTGTGGAAAAAGGAAATTATTCAACCCATGGCAACATGTTACACGGCAACTCATCTTTCAGAAATTTTTATCAAGGAATATTTCTCGCAGAGCCGAAACACATAGTTGCGATATCCTATTCGAATTGACTCAAAATGCAACAAAGTTGGCTCGTAAAACACTCGAAGATAATTTCTACCAGTTTTTTATCGCCACTGAGATTTTCCAACTATTTGTGAGCTTATCCTATGAACAGCTTGAATATTTTCTTAATGAACTCTCGTTAAAGAAAGCTAATTTTCCACTTGAGAGTGAGTTAGGTAATAAAATTCCCATCCTCAAATGAATGTTGGACAAAATTCCTTTGAAAATCCACGGAGGATTGATTTTAGCGGTAGAGTGGATGTTTGGGTAGATTTTAAATTGTTTTAAGAGCAAACTTGCTCTCACTGTTCTTAAACACTTATGTGAGCTGTCACCCGAAAAGCAAGTGTCAGTTATTATCGTCTTTTTTAATCGTTCACATCTGTACATTTTTCAGATTCATCTGTTCTCGGCGCGAATTAAATCTTAAGCAAAAAGTACGTTATTTGACATTTTAGGATAATTTCGCGAAGTAGCTAATAATTGAAATGCTCCATATACGATTAAAAACGCTTTTTCTGAGCACACTGCGTTTATCTGAATCGGTTTTAATGTATTTTTCAATTACAAGTGCCTTGATTCAGCTACTGTTTACGTCATAAAAATTGTTTTTTCACCTGCGCTGTTCAAACCTTCACTTAGGACGTTCAGTACTAGCTACATCAATGACAATGAGACTTTTCTTTGACATGGGCGTTTGAGGGTAATTTTCTGACCTTATGTTCGCGTGAGATAAGCCCCGCGGGAAACTGGAGCAGTTGTGATAACGTGCTCATTTTGGAAGTCACGTCACTGATAATTCAACACTATAGGAACTGGCAATTTTCAACAAAATTAAACTTCAAATCCACTTCTTCTCTTGAATACAAGATGCCTCTCCTGAATTAGAGAAAAGGAGAGCTTTAAACGGTCAACTTCTAATAACTCAAACACAGTTCAAGTTACCTCTACCCTAGCACTAACAATCGATCTCCTTACATACTGTCACAGACTTGGTGTATTTTTACCCTGGGTGACTCGAACCATAGTGAACTAGGACCTAATGCAGACTCAAAACAATTCGTTTCCCTTCGGGTCACTTTCTGTACAATTTTACACTCGATAACCGTAACCATGTCCAACAATTCAGTTCTGAAAAGACAAAACAAGCAGCATTCAAGTCCAAAATCGACCAAAACAGTGCCGGAATTGATATAGTAGCATTCGTGGATTCTTTTCTTTTCTCATTTTGCATTACTTAACATAACTGTTTTCACTGATAGGTTTCACTGACTTGAAACTCTTCTCGACTTCTATGCCAAGTTCTCATTGGTTGTAAAACCCTTCTCGCAGTCTGTAAAAACCAGCCGCCTGTAAAACATCGGAAACCTCTTGAGGAAAACAATGAAACCCTTGAGTACTAAATTTTGATCAAACGTATACTGCTTTAGTAGAGATAAGGAAAACATAATTTACCCTTATTTCCTGTCATTTGTTCTCAAGTCTCATTAAAATAAATCAAATCCTACTCGAATTTTCTTCCATTTCCTGTAAAGGTTCGAGTTATCGGGAGTCACCGGAACGATATTCAAGTGGGCGGCAAATTTATGTAACGCAAAGCTAAATAAAGTAGCTTGTCGATTTTTTTGTACTTTCTGTTGAATGAGAGATTTCATCTTCCGATGTAACACAATGTAGTCCTGGCTTATTGAGGAGGATAAAGCGAATAATTAGGAAACAATGTATAACTCATGTTTAAGTACTTTCAAAACCCGTATTGAAAATAAACTGGGAATCTAATTAGCCTCTTTTGGTGAGCAGCCGATAATCCAATTTCTGTGAGATATAAAAAAAAACAAAACAAAGGAAGAAAAAAGAAGAAAACGAGATTTATGCGACGAGGGCAAACATACAAATAAGATTTATGAACCCCTCCCCCCAAAAAAAACGAGACTTTTTTTTTGTCAGTCAACTAAGATATCGTATACTGTCGTAAACAGAGACAGATATAAAGTCAACGGACAGATCATGTTGAAATTTAAAAAGAGTATAGCAAATAGAGTTATGAAGGAGGATTTTCCCAACGAACAGTGACCTATACCTTGTGAAAAAGAAATTAAATTACTTTTCTTTAAAATAGTGTTTCTAAGTGTAACCAACATCGTGTGAGAGTACGTCATGCTTGGCTGAAACTGAACATATTTTTTAATTGGAGCTTAGTAATGGATCTACGAAATTGATTAATCTGATTTGCTGAAAGCTGTCGCAATCGATGAGTCCTGAATCAAATATTCATATGGTACCAACCCGGCTAATAAGCGTTGTGGAGTATGAAGCATATTGCAAACGGAAAGATGCAAGTGAACTTGCACTGAATGCATTTAGGCGTCTGTAATTCTGTTTGAACTACAAAATGACTCCCACACTGTAAGGCGCAACCTGACACGACGTAGGGTCAGAAGGGATATTCCCTAAATGTTATTCATGTCGTTTTATGTTTGTACCCCCGCTCATCTTCGAAACGACGAAAGTCTAGTTAACCATTGGAGAACGATTTTGAATTTTCAGAGAAGCAAAAAAAGTAAAAAAAAAAGGCTGTTTGTAAGTGTTTTGTCCCACGCTCTTTATAAGACAGGTGAAGGGAAAAAAACGTAATAGCCTTTATTCGATACGAAAATATGCTTAATTTCAGCTTTTTTTTTCCACAGACATTGCAATGTTTCTTCGAGCTTCGCTATCGGAAACTTGGCGGAACGTACAATGTCTGTAGACGAACATGCGAGCACATTTTAGCGCTAAATGGATGTTTGTTATTTGTAAAAGAATCTCTTTATTTTCTTTACTGGATTGATATAAGGATTAATGGAGAAATCAACGAGTCTGAAAGTCTGTAATAAAACGTCATGTTTAAGCTTCTTATCATTTCTTATTAGTTGCCTTATCAAAACCGTTAGAGATTTTATAAAGTGCATAAAAACAACTTGGCGTCTTTTACTCTCTTTATTCTCTACATAGCCCCTTCTAAAGCTGTCCTGGAAATATATCATTTTATGCGCAATTTGAAACTTCAGCCAAAGTGTCCGAATTAATGATTTTAATTTCGCATTTGAAATATTGTGGTTGTATCACAGGTAGCCAAAGCTCAGATTATGAGTCCCCATAAATATTAAAGTAACTTTACATTGCGCAATAGGCAAAATATGAGGATAAAAACAAAAAAAATTTTTAGACAGCTTAACAAAGATTAATCAATCAGTGAATGACAATTGCTGTTCTCATTATTTCCAGTACGCCGACCTAAGAGAAGTAAAATTTGTGCTTGGCTTAGGCGACAATTTCTATTATGAAGGTGTGAAGTCAGTGGATGATCCCCGATTCATTTCAACCTTTGAGCACGTGTATACGAACCCTACACTTAAATCAGCCACGTGGTACATGGTCGCTGGAAATCACGACCACGCCTCTAATGTGTCTGCGCAGATAGCTTATAGTAAGGTGTCCTCCCGTTGGCACTTTCCGGATTTCTTTTATTCTAAAGGTAAGGTTCATTATTTCAAGCTTTGTCTCTGATCACGCGCTTTGTAATTGTCAACCCTTTTGCGAGACTGAAATGCAATCTTTTGTCACAGCTTCGCATTTTAGACAGAGCAACTTCAGGAACGCACATTCCACTGTAGATTTGTCATGTTTCTTTTGTCATTACATTTTTTGTCTAGGTATTTGAACTATTTTTGTCGATGGGACTCTTCAAGCAACATCCCGATTGTAAAGGTTTACACTTTGTCCAAAAAGTAATTTTTCAATTTTAAATTAACATAAGGTTATGAATATTGCTTTTCCTGTGAACTACTTTGAAAGTCGCCGGAACAGTGAAGAGCTACGCCGCAAACTTCCCGCAGAAAAAAACCAAAACACTTTGACAGAAAAAAAAAAAAAAAAAAAAAGAAAAGCAATAAATGACTTTGAGAAGGACCCAACTCATATTTATGCCTAAGGATATAAACTGTGCTATTATTATCACTTTGGCGGGCATTAAAAAAGTAAAAATTGAAAAAGAAAAAAAAAATTACACCAAAACAGTTTGAACAATCACGCGAAACTACATTTAAGCCCGCCAAAATTTTAGTCTGCAAAATGCGCCACGATGCCAGACAAGGTAATAATAATACACATTATATAGGACGTTAAGAATGTACAGTTGTCAGGCAAAACTTACGAGCTTATTGGTGAAATTTTTAATTTTCTGTGGATTATGATGGTATAATGTCACTCAAGGTCACGTTCTTGTCCATTGAATTGATGTTTACCAGACCTAGATTTTACTCGGTTGGTTTAAAGCACATACTGTTGTATGGGTCAAATACGTATCAGAATCTGCATTTCTTGTCAAATAGACCTAAGTTAACGGGAAGCTATTGCACTTCCAAGAGCTCTTCGAAAATATGTAGTGATACAAACATTCGTTGTTTTTCGGGCGTCTCATATTTAAGTTCGTAATGAAAGGTTTTAAAAGTAAGGAATATTGGAAGTATTTCAAGCAAACGAAGAGACGTAGCAGGAAAGAGACGAGTCTTTACATCAATGCAGCGAATATCTTAAGGAGGGTCGAAAAGTCCTGAGCCTCATTATTGTTAGCTCTGCACGACACACGGTCCTCCTCCTGAGGGAAGATTGGAGATGAATCGGAGAGAGGTTTGCAGGGAGTCTGGCACTAATATCAGTTACCTAACTTCTTGCATTCCTGTCGCCTGCTCTCCTTGCTCGAGGTCTCATACATGAGGATCTCAATGGAGTTACCTGTCAGCCGATAATATTGACAAATTTTAACCGTTAATCGTAAAAAATTCTAAGAAATTAACCATTAGCCGTAAAGTGGCCAAATATTTCAAATTTCAAAATTTCAAAATTTCAAAATTTCAAAATTTCAAAATTTCAAATTTTTAAAATCCATCACCCCACTGAAACCCTCATACTCAGTCTCCCGCTGGCAAAGAAACGTTCGTGCTGAAGCACTATTAACCCTTGTACAGCCTAAGATCATTATGCATATTCTCCATACTGTTCTTTATACACTTCCTAAGGTGTTGTAAGGGGAATTTGTCTAACAATCAAGAGTTTTTTTAGTTGGTGATCATTTCCTCTATTCTCATGACCTTAAAGTGTGATTCAGGAATGACATTGTAGGGAGAAATTAGATGCTAGTTTGCAGGGAGTCTGTCACTAATTAACAAGAAGACTCTAGCTCAAGAAGCTAGAGTCGCTCTCGGCTATCGCCTCGAGCGACTCTTACGCTTCTTTCGTGCTTAGCAACCTCCTGCGTGCATCCATAACTCAATAGTGTGCGCTGTGGTGTTTACCATTTGTTTTATAACATAACATTGATACATTGTAGCTAAAGAGTTCCCTTTTATTTAACAAATCTTACGGGACCAGAAAAAACAAGCGCGCGCAGAAAAATAGTCTTTGCATTTGCTCACGTCAGCAGCGTACACCCATGGGCAAATG